TGATTTGGTAATACATAAAAAACAAAATACGAAATATTCTAACAACCTATCATGTGGTTTTGAAACAGACTAATAAGAAATCTCAACATCATACTGATAAACAACACTTTACATCACCAAAGAAAAGAGAAACACTTGGAAATCTAAACAGTTTCGGAAAACGTAATTACGATATAGTGTATGATAGTCGTTCAGTTGTTATTTATGTTGATCGATTTAAAAACAATATTTACAAGAGATTCTAAAGCATTGAATAAAATAATATATATGCTATTCAGAACAATTTATTTCATTTTTTGAATTTTTGCTACACCGAGCTCATAAGCAATCACATTAATTTCATTTCCATAAGTACGTAAAAGTCCAGTGGGGATTCCGATTCTGAAATACCACAAACTGCAAACAGCCGAAAAAATATGACAAACTAAGACGAATTCATGCTATCCTGCTTAAATCGCTAATCTTAACTTTTTAAAATAATCGGACTACTTTCGGTATGTATGAGCATGCAATTTGTTGCCTATATATATAAATACCGACCTACTAATTTTTAATTTCAAGTAAAACAAATAAGTAATACAATATAATTATTTTCCCTAAATTTTTAAGGGGCAATTAATAAGTCCAAACACTGTTGAAAATCAATCAAAATCATGTCCATCGGATTCAGAAAAACAAAGCAAAGACAAAAAGACTCAATTTTCGTCGCAAGATAAACTAAATACACCATTTGTACAAACCTCCAACGACAATATGCACCATACAAGTTTGGACTTGTTATCTCTTGAAGTATTTGATCGGCTACAAGGAAATTGCTCAATAAATTCCAAATCTCCTAGTTTGGTGAATGATAAAGGACTTAACCAAATAGGCATACACGGCAGACCGACAGTGCTTAAAAACAATCATCATGAATACCCAATAAAGTGTTGTTACCTAAGAAGTTCAACTAATTGCAGTAAATGTCTTAATGAGCTGCCGATGGTTGATAAACAAAATATCATAAAGTGTAATGACATAAATTTCGATCGCATAGATAAAAATGAATATGAAGTAGGACCTGAAAACCAGAAAATACATCACTGGTTAGATGAAAATACATACTTAATGAGTGGTTCGCGCCAACCCGCGTTAGCAGATACTTGTAACAAAAAAAGGAAACACACAATTCCACACAAGAGTGATGTTAAATATGTCAATCAACAAGAAAATACAAAATATACTAATTCTGCTTTGAACATCGTCTCTCCGCCTATGCACCCAATCTGGGATACACCCGAAGACCTCCGAACATCATCACTTACTGACTTTCTTCGCTTATAAGACTTTTACCTATTATGGATTCACTTATTTAAATGGTATAAATGTTCGATTGGGTATTGTTTCGTTCTAAAAAAATTATCATGGAAAGTGTTTGTTATCAGGCACGGTATAATCCCTAGCGAATATATCTGAAAGCTATCGAAAGCAGAATGAATCTGACAAATTGGAATAATTCTCAACACTTCGTTTTTCCATTAGTTAATGCTCAACCCCATATTTATCAAAAAATGTGTACAACATAATAAGATATTCCTATAATTGAATGAGTTTTACGGAAAGCCATTCTAATTATTCATTATGACTGCTTTACCTACTTTTAGCGTAATGTATGTAAAAACATACATGGATAAATCTAAACCACTAAAATGAAACAAGTCTAACTCGAATTCAGTTTTCGAATCCATAAAATAAAAAAAATTAGCACTAAGCACTATTAGAGTGGATCCCCGTTAACAGTCGTCTATGCGCTGTTCGGCTAAACGGCTCCGTAAGAACTAGGAAGGATAGGGACACACGTCGTTGCCTTTTCGTCGTTTCTGCCTACGCTCCCACTGACTGCAGCTCGGATGAAGTGAAAGATGAATTTTACAGAAAAATCTCTGAACTTCTTCAGAAAGCTAAATGTTCAGACATAGTACTCGAAGCAGGCGACTTTAATGCCCAGGTAGGTAGGTTAAAACAAACAGAAAGACATTTAGGTGGGTATTTTAGTATTCCAGCACAGCGAACAGATAACGGTGATCGTCTGCTGCAACTGTGCTCAGACAATCGTTTATTTTTAGCAAACACAAATTCTAAGCATAAGGAGAGACATCGTCTGACATGGCGACCCCCTGCACCAAACCAACGATGGACTCAAATAGACCATATTACCATCAGTCATTGTTGGAGAGGATCGATAGAAGATTGTCGCTCATTCTGGGGTACCTGTTTGGACTCTGATCATGCCCTAGTACGAGCACGCATCTGCTTGCGCCTCACTGGACGCAAAAGAGCCACACAAAAAAGACTCATTAGAACCGAATTGAGTAATGAGAAAGCCAAAAGTGGGTTCCAGGAACAACTGAGGTCACACTTAGGTAGTTCTGAAAACTAGGCTGACCCGAATGTTGCTTGGAAAGATATACAAACAGCAGTAACATGTGTTAGTGATTTAAAACAAAGGGTTACAAAGAACCAATGGATTTTTTCAAGGTCTATTGCACTGATGGATTCGCGTAAACTCATCCCATCAGGCTCTGAACATGATGATGAGCGAAAGCAAATCAGATCTAGGTTAAGCAAAAGTCTAATGAATGATCGTGAGCAATGGTGGGCAACGGAAGCAAAAGAGGCTATGGGGAACACCAGACAGCTCTTCAGACTAATAAAAGAAACTGGAATTAATAAGTCAAGTGTAAGTGAGACTACATTGGAAAAAGACGACAATCTTATCTACTCCCAGTCCAGACGGATAGAACCATGGGTGGAGCATCTTAAGGAGCAGTTCAGCTGACTTTCAGCTAGTCTACAACTATCCTCAATTCCCAGACAGTGTGAATGGAACATTGAAGTAGGTCCCCCGAATCTAGCTGAAGTTCAAAAGGTTATTGTAAATCTGAAACGAGGAAGAGCAGTTGGTCCAGATGGATTGACTCCAGAGGTCTTTAAGGATGGTGGTCCAATTTTAGTGATTCGGTTGACGAATATTTTAGCTGAGATATGGAAGTTGCACGTAATCCCATCTGACTGGTCACAATCACTGATTGTCACAATATGTAAGAAAGGGTCAAAATCATCCTGAGACAACCATAGATGGATTAGTTTGATTAATATGGCATCCAAAATACTAGCCTAAATAATCATCGGTCGCCCAACAAGCACTCGTGAACTGCAAACATGAGAAAACCAGGCTGGCTTCAGACCTGGTCATGGCTGCATCGACCACATATTCACCGTGCGTCAGGTTCTGGAACACAAAAATGCTTATCGGCGTCCGACAATAGTGGTCTTTCTTGAATTAAAAGCAGCATTTCACTCAGTAGACCGCGAGATTCTGTGGCAATGTCTGTCATTGAAGGGTGTACCTCAGAAGTGTATCAACCTTATGAAGGCTCTTCACTCGAACACCACTGATCGAGTCAGAGCTTACGGCGAACTGTCATCTGATTTTGCAACCTCAAGTAGTGTCCGTCAAGACTGTCCACTTTCTCTATTTTTGTTTAACTTCATATACCTACTGATGGGAATAACGCTCTTATTGACTGGATTTTCGGGCATTGGTCTCCCACCAGGTCTACTTATCGACTTAGAATACACAGATGATATAGTCCTGTCTGGTGAAGACGCTGATAAAATGCAGTGTCTTGGTGGCACTGAGCAACAATGTGAGGATATTCGGGATGTGTTTCTCCTCCTCTAAATGCGAGTTGTTGGTTCAGGACTGGTCTGCGTCAACACCTGAACTAAGGATAGGGAGTGAAGTAGTCCAATGAGTTGACAACTTCACTCATTTCGGAAGTCCGATCGGTCACAATAGGTTGGTGTCTGACGAAATCTCACCACAGATTCGAAAAGCTCGTTTGGCTTTTGCCAACTTACGTCACCTATGGCGAAGGCGAGATATCGATTTTTCAATTAAGGGACGATTATACTGCACGGCAGTTCGTTCCGCTTTAATTTACGGCTGCGAAACGTGGCCATTAAGAGTAGAAGATATTCGTAAGTCACTAGTATTTGATCACAGATGTCTTAGAAATATTGCTCGCATCTGCTGGAATCACCGGGTAAGTAAAAGTGAGGTTAGATGCAGGGTATTAGGAAATGATGGTAAATCAGTTGATGAGATGGTTGCATATGCCTGAACACCGATTACCACGAGGTGCAGTGCTAACCGGTGTTGGGAATGGTTGGAAGAGAATTATGGGCGGTCAAACCAAATCGTGGCATCAGTGCTTGAATTCACTGACTTCTGGTCTGAGATATGTTGGTAGACTACTCGGTTGGGGTCCACGTGATTATCGTAAACAGTGGTTGGAGACTCTCTATCTTTCCTTAAACTATGAGATTGGAATTATTTCATAACTTTCTTTCTGCGTACTAGTTCTTTATTCCTGTACTTTATCCTTATATGCAATCTTTCTTTTATATATTACGATCATTGAATTAACTACTTCTATGAGTCCGGTATTCATTTTGCTGTGTTAATGTGGTATGGCAACTTGGATCGTTGCATATATGTGCCTGGTCTTAAGTTGTAGCTGACTGACTGATGGGTAGGAAACTGATGACAGCATAAACAATTATAACAGTATGTATTAATAAGTACAATAAAGTAGCGTAAATGGTTTTAAAACACCAGTTTGCCTTTTCTTCCGTTATTCGAAAAATCGATTTACTATAGTTCTACAGTATAGTTGTAATTTTCCCAGCCAATCGACTTTATGGACTAGTAAGGTCATATTTTTACGAGTAATATCATCATACAAACGAATACTTTGCATTTAAATTTGTGAAAAAAGTTATTTTACAAGGAACATTATTTGTTTCTAATCTGAACAGCTAATTAAGCGTATTTTAAAGAATAAAACCTTTTCATCATTATAATGAAGCGTTCATTCTGATAGAGGACACTTCGTGTTTGATCATAAGTGAAAAGTTGCTATAACAGCAATAAGAAGAAGTTAGTAACACTTTTTGGAAGTTTTAATGTATATTGTTTTAATATAAATGGGGAATTTACAAACAAATATGCGAATTGTAAATATTTTGGGAGTAAAAGATCTACAAAAGAAAAGAGAACAAGTTATCATCTATTCAAAAGTTTATAAACTACACATTTTATGCTTCACCGTAAACTGGACTCAGTAAAATTGAGTTTACACACTTTTCCAACAACGTATGATAGTCATTCCAATTCAATGATTGTTGCATCTTAGTTATCGTGGTAAAAGTATCCGCTGTAGGTGAAAGTTGAAGGAATGCATATTTATACCGGTCATCATTGTTTAGATGATTAGAACGTAAAGGTCGACCTTTCACTGTTAAATGCACTATTCCAAGTTCAGTAGATAAAAGTTTGGCTATCATATGCGCTAAATTTAAAGCCGTTTGATTAGCCTTAAAAAATTTAAAAAAATGGATGAATGTAAACAAATATGAATAAACCGCGTTCGAAATTCTTATTAAACATATCCGCATGACTTTTGTTGATTCCTGTAACTTTGCAGGCTTAGAATATACGAATTACAACGATTTTTTATAATTGGCATGAAGTTCACAACTAAACATGTACTTAAATTTATAAAATTCCATTAGTTTATTTATTTTTATTTATTTGTTTATGGCTTTATTCAATATTATATTTTGGTACAATATAGAATTCTCAGCACAAAAATATTTCAACAAGTTTCTTTTACAGAACAAAAGAAAAAAAACGGTTAAAAAAAATCTGAAAAAAAAGAAAAAAAACTGTATAACTTTTCAATTAGAGTCATGTTAAGAATGCAGATTATTGACTAGGTTAACTCTAACAACCTGTTCGTCACAGAGTACATTTGCTAGGTAAGGTACTATAGAACGTTTATACTTTTGCTTGCGTGCTTGGATTATAATGTAATTTCGTCTCGTTCTACCAAAAGATATACAAGGAGAAAGATATGAGTGAAAGGGATGGTTAGTATCTGATAAAATAACATCTGGTAAGGGTTACTTAATAATTCCTAATTGAACACATATAACCAAGATAAAAGGTAAACGTGAAATAAACGATTGTAAAGATGGTAAACGATAACGAGTAGGATGTAGAGAACTAATAAGTGCTGAAAACCAAAGACTTGGGGTAATGACTAGTTCGAATTACTGCCACAATTTAGCATAATAGACAGAGGAACAATAAATAGGATAAACTGAACTTCAAAACATCATAGAAGAATAAGCGGGTTACAGAAAATACAAATGACTTCAAGTGAACAGTAATTGATTTTAAGTTTTATTTTATTAGATGACGTTGCATTACAAACAGAGGGTTAGAGAAGCATAAGTGGATGAAAATAATTTACGAGTCAAAATTACGAAAGTAAACTGTTTACTTAACAGGTATTAAGAAAAATGGAAAACGTAAAGGTCATTATGACAAATGAATAATAGTTATAAAAAAATTGTTAGAGGGTAATACTAAGTGATTACGGTTTTAAATTGCGAAGCAATAATAAAAACGAAACAAGACCAAATCATACTGCAGAAGGAAATTAGAGTCGAGGAAGGGTGAGAGGTTAGACTTATCAATTTGGCACGCAGAGTTCGGGCTTGAATATATGGATCTCCAAAGCCTTATCAGTTTTTGATTCGACCTCTTTTTGATCCGGTTCCTTTGATTTTTTAGACTGTTTTGAAGGAAGACTCATTTGGAGCGACATGCCTAGAGTTGATTAGGTGCTGTTGTATTGAAATAGTGATTGTTTCGGATTTATCTTTCAAAAGCCATGCCGGGAAATGCTCTGAAATGAGTTTGGAAAGTGACTGATTTGTGCAGCTAATGTAACCTGTCCCACAGGAGCAAGTCAATTCATAAATGCACATCGATGTGGTCCACAGCGGAAGTTTATCCTTAACATTTATCTTTCTACAGACATATATATTTAATAGTTGAATTTATGATTCGGTTAAATTTAGACCAACATGGAAAACCTGGAAGCACTGAACGACCGTTTCGTCCTAGTATGGGACGCCTCAGCAGTGTGTATCCACGACACTCCGCACGCGAAACTCGAACTCGTTCAGTGCTTTCAGGTTTTCCATGGTGGTCTAGCTTTAAACGGCTCATGATTTCAACTATCAAATTACTACAATCTCCCATTCTGATAATGTTTATATTTAACAGACAACTATGAATACGAATGTACAGCTTAATTAAATTTCATCGAAAATTTTCTTCGTTGGATTTTATTCACTTTTAATCAATGACACAATAGGTTAATTTAATTAAAAATAGTTATAGTATGTAGATTATATGTTCATTATATTAAAATTACTGAATTTTATACGTAAAACAATGGACAATTTCGCACTTACATGTGATTTTGGAAAATAACAAACAGCTAAATTCATACTATAGACAACAAATGGTTGAGTCATATTGAGTTGTATAAATGCAAAAATAAGCTGTAAGATAACAAAAAAAAAAACAGAGACAGTAAAGAAATATCAAATAGTTAAAACAATTTTCTCAAGAAGTCATGTCAATTAATTTTACTGTTAGATGTATACATTTTGATTGAAAACTAAGAGAAAATCGGATGAAAATGTCAAATTTATATTTGCTTTTACGTCTATCAAATGAATGGATAATCTAGGAAATATCGAAGCCATTGATTATACCACATATGATAAATACCAATCTCTACTTCAAGAAATATATAGAAATGATTATAACAATAGTTAAACAAAATCATTTATAAATTAAAGAAACTTACATCATCTAATCTATGAAAATCAAGTTCAGAAATTACAGCTTGAGATGTTTCACCGCTATTATTACCAGTCATTATTTTCATGTTATCAATGTATAATTGGACTTGGTCAGTATCAATAATATCTGTTTTATGATTGATACGGTAAAGATTGGTTTCTAATGCTAATCGAGCATATAATGGGAGAAATCCAGTATAGTGTGGATCATTTAAAACAGATTCATACCAATCGATATGGATGACTGCTTTTTTAGGATCATGAATAGCTTCTTTTTCTCTTGATAAACCTTCTTGAATCAATTCATTAGCACATTGATGTGCAGATTTAGCCAAATGACCAAAAATGCAAGTGAACTAAGATGAAGTAGTCAAAATACACATTGATGTTATGTGGTTTAAAAAAAGATACGGAATACAAAACTCTTATACAATGACACCATAGGAAATTTACTAATTAGCAAAAGGAATTAAGCAGCTGATAAATAGCATCATTATTGTAAACGATTTTGTAGTCGACTTTGGAATAAGACACTTCTCTTACTAGTCAAAGACAGCCTCGTACAGTTGTTGTAATTAAAATATCGACAGACGGATAAATCATGACCATAAATTTAACTGAAATTTTTTATGAAACTACTTAATGCTAAGAGAATTGGTTATGTAAAGAACAATAAGTTAACATTTTTCTTGTTTCTCTATACGAAAGCAAAACCTTATGTTTGGGTACATTATGTGATTTATTACAAAGTCAGGTTATTTATGATTTACAACAGGAATATCAAAATCGAACAAACTTAAAATAATTCTATTCGTTAAATGAAATTAATAAAAGTAACATGTAATCAACCGATTCGTAAGGAGATTAATTGTTCTTAAGATTTTATCTATTCATGGTTTATTTGCTCGTAGCTATATACGTTTTCTTGAACATATATAAGTTAAAACTTGATTGAAGCGTTTTCAAACTTTAAATCAACAGATAAAATGTTGAAAATCGGAAAAAATGTAACAAACGTCCAACATGATTTAACACTTAATCCATGAATAAATGATAAAGTCATTATGCAACAGTTAACTATTGAAAATGATTAGTAAATGAGTAAGTGTAAGCTAGTAAGGTTAATATAGAACAACTATATACCCAGAAGTTAATACATATTTTTTTCAATAGTTGAAATCATGAATCAATTGAAGCTAGACCACCATGGAAAACCTGGAAGCACTGGACGGCCGTTTCGTCCTAGTATGGGACTCCTCAGCAGTGCGCATCCACGACCCCGCCCCCCGCGGGATTCGAACTGAGGACCTATCAGTCTCGCGCCAGGCGCTTAACCGACTAGACCACTGAGCCGGCATCCAACGGTGTTAATGTCTAACTTCAACCAATCCACGAAGTTGCGCCACCGTCACCATTGTCTTCAGTGAGCTGATATCTCACAACAGACCTGGTTGAACTCCACTGGTCACGGCTTCTCGCTAAAACTCCAGGAGTATCTCTTGAAGTCAGTCACTAGTGAGCAGATGATTATTACTAGAATGGGTTTTGTAGAGAATTGGTAATTTCAATAGTTGAAATCATGAATCAATTGAAGCTAGACCACCATGGAAAACCTGGAAGCATAACAGAGTATACATACACTTTCATTTTGATGCTATCGAGCAGAAATTCGACATGTTTTAAGGATAATAACTATAGTTATTTGTCAATATTATGATAAAGTACAAGAATAGTGAAATCTTAACGTGAAAAACTAGTATCACACGAAACAAACAAGTATATAGTGACAAGGAAAAGATACTTCTTAAGTTTATACGCTGAAGCATAAATACGTAGTGAAAGTTAGCTTACTTCTTTGATTGTTTTTTGACGTCCTTTAACTGCAACCACCGCTATATCCAGTAAATCGGATAACTCAAAAAGATGTGTCCCTCCGCACAATTCAGCTGAGATGACAGAATTAAAATCTGTTAGTTCATGATGATTAATTGGATGTTTTTCTTTTGTTATACACACAGTGCGTACTTTTGCACTATACTCCTCCCAAGGGAAGTATCGAATTTGTTTCACCTTGAAAAAATAGTATGAAAAGTGATTTTTAGTTTATTCAATAAAGACGGGTTGATATCATATATATAGACCCTGGCGCAGATGTCGGTTCGCACAAGTCTCCATACCATATTATCATGACAAAATGAAAAGAGTAAAAGAGGACAAAGTAGCAGCAATAGTAGATAGAAGGACCAAAATGTAGTGGCAAAGAGTGAATGCATCTGCATCATTGTGAGCGGTGATACACAAAGTGTCCAACAACTGACCAATAAGAAATAGTCAGTCGTTTCATTGCCTCATTACACAGAAGATGGGTATCCAAATTAAGAAACAACCAATGATCTAGGAGCAGAAGCTGCTCATAAATAAGCATATTACAAACTGGGTATCTTCAGAAATAAAACTGAAAATTGACCAGCAGGTAACTAAGTATTACAGGAGCACTACATACCGGTGACAAGAATTTCATAAGAATGTAAACAGAAACCATTACCATAAATTTAGCCACAAATATTCAACGAAAGTTTTTAATATAAAAAGACTCCGAGGTTACAGTTTTGAGAATTATTAAAAAAATATTATTTTTGTTTTATAAATCTCCCTTTTCTATAAACAATTTATACGTATCTCCACTCCAGGTGACTACATTTTAACGTAGATAATATGAATAAATATTTAAACGCTTGTAACTAAGTTCACACTATGTCGAATAAAAATCCGCAACTCACTTTTAAGGCATGTGCCAATTCTGTATTCCAAATGGAAATAAATCCATTTTCATTAATTAACTTTTGACACTTTTGTTCTAATTGTCTTGTAAAATTACCTAAATTTTCTTGCATTAGTTCTGACGCTGAACCAATAATAGCAGCTTTTACAGTGAAATAATTAGAGTGAGAAGTACCACCAATATGTTGGAATGCTGAAGAATGCGATAGCACTGATGATTCTAGAGCTGATGTAAATAAATGCTGACCAGTATGTGAACACATAAGATTAAATCTACGTTCCTGAAGACGAAAAAGGAGAAAATAAGGAATATATTTTTCTTTATGAAAAGTTGAGTCCAAAAGAATAGAAAAGAATTATACTAATGGCATGGTTATTTGAGTGGGTGCATTTTAGTATTGTTCAATTGTTTTATAAGTTGTAAGGATGGATGTATGAATCTCATTACGAGAAAATACCGACTCTGCTGACAACTAAGTGAAACTTAGTAGGTCAATAAAAATTAGCATTGGGCATCTGCAAAGAATTAGAATTTTTAGTTTTAGATCATAATCTTGGCTAAAACTCTATTTGAAAGCTGAGAGCATTGGAAGGTTGATTCACCTAAGTGTGGAACTCTTCGGTAGTGCACATCTATAACCCCACACACGGGAATCGGTCTCGCGCGAGAACACTTGCACACTCTAAGCTACTGAACCAGCATCTACTAGTGTTAATGTCTAACTTCAATCAATCCACGACATTATACAAATTCCATCTACCATTTGACGCAGACAACGGTCTCACACCCGACACGGATTGGATTCCACTGCGTCTATACTAGGACGAAACGACCGTCCAGTGCTTCCAGGTGTTCATTGGTGGTCTAGCTAAGATTACTTCGTGACCTCATTGGTATCTTTATTTTGGATGAAAGCTATGAACAAAACAGAAGAATCCGATCTAAATTCAACGAAAACAACAACGGAAGTTATCTCATGACAAAAACATAGACTATAAAAGGATAGTAGATTAGAATGATATAAACTCAAGTAGGAAAAATAGTAAATTCAGCGATCTATACATGATTTCGGATAGTGTGATAACACTACAACTGCTATGACTGTCAAACACAAATGAACGCAAGTATAATTAAAATGGTGGTTGGTTTTAAATAAACAACGTAAAATGACTGTTGATATTGGAAGAAACTAGATAATTTGGACTTCGCAGATGACCTAGTTCTTCTATCCCATACACACCGACAAATATAAAAGAAGACAACTAGCATATCAGCAGACTTTGCAACAGTAGATATCAGCATACACAAGAGAAAAACAACATCTTCAAATACAACACGGAGAACACCAACCAAATCACATCTGGTGGAGAAGCTTTTGAAGAGGTGAACGTAAATGCAAGAGCTGACAAATCAAGGGCAGCATTCCTACAACTGGAGAACATATGGAACTCAAAACAACTACCAACCAATATCAAAGTCAGAATCGTCAATGCGAATGTCAAGACAGTTCTACTGTAAGGAGCTGAAACTTGGAGAACTACTACAACCACCATCAAAAGGTACAAGTATTTATAAGCAATTGTCTACGCAAGATACTCAATACTCGTTGGCTGGATACCATCAGCAACAGCCTACCGTGGGGGAGAAAAAATCAGGTTCCAGCTGAAGAGGAAATTAGGAAAAGATGCTGGAAGTGGATAGAACATATATTACGGAAATCATCAAAATGTAACACGAAGCAAGCGCAAACTTGGAATCCTGAAGGGAAAAGGAAAAGAAGACCGAGGAACATATTAGGCCGGCAATCGGAAGCAGACATGAAAAGGGACAGTCCAGGACAGAGTTCGATGGAGAATGCTGGTGGGCGGCCTATGCTCCTACACGAGAGATAACAGGAGTAAATAAAGTAAAGTAAGAGTGTTGACAACTATCGCTCATTAAAGTCGAAGATCGTAGGAAAGAAAGAATTGAAATGCATTTAATTAATATAAATATGATCAGTAATCCTGTAGATTATAATATCATGAAAGTGTTCATGACAATATCATGTTGTGATGACCGTTAACCGATGATAAATCCTCACGTAAATAAAGTATGAATTATTTATCAGAGGATTTATAATTAAGTCACTAAAATTATATTGTATGATACAACAAAAAATGTACTCACTTTATCAATACTTAAAACAAAAGATTGATCAAATTTTAGATTATCTAATGAAGGAAATAAATTATCTGGTCTATGACACCAATGTATAATCCAACCATTAGTTGAAGAATTCGAAATAGGATCAGAAACAAAAGTTGTTCCAATAACTTGAAATTGAAGAATCTGAAGGTGAGCAATCAAAAACAAATAACGACAGGTACAGTATTTTTAAATACAAAGTGTTACAAAAAATAAAAATGATACGGTATGAAAGCTAATGAAAAGAAATACGTAAAACTATAATAAGGAACGCTAATTCAAATAGTTTATACATATTACAAGCCCTTACTCCTTTATTTCTTTACAATATTATAGCTTTATCTATGTGAAGTATACAAACGCATTAGTTTGCTAACATAAAACCATTGGGTTAAGAAAAATCAAACAATTTTGTTATTATTCACTGAAATGAACTGACGAGATGAAGTCAACAGATGACTATTAACAAAAAGCATTTGTTCGATAGAAAATGTAACAAATATTAAACCGAACTTATTTTAATGCATAAGGCTTAACAACATAGTAAAAATGATCACAATTTATTTATTAAACAAAATGTAAAGTCACTTACTGGACAGTGATCTATTAAACAAAAAGAACTCTGGGAAACCTACATTTATCAATTGATGAAAGTTTGTTCCTGATCTTATTTTCATTTCATCATTTACCATATACGTAAGTTAATCATTTAAATCAAATAAATGAAGCAACATACTACAGTTATGACAAAAAACTAATAATTTAAAAGTAAACTCGATATTTAGTTACGTGAAGGAAGATAAACTGGCGACCTGATTGAATATCTGAACTATCTGTTCCTGTTATCTAGATATTTTAACAAGTTATTTGCTTTTGTTTGTTTTAACACATTATTTTTATTAGTCGCATAACCTATTTAGGCATGTTTATGTAAAGTTTACGACCTTCGGCTGTGCAAGTTACAAAAAATTACAATTAGAGACATCGTGGTGGCTGGCAGTATGCATTTAAAAGAAAACATTATTCGGATGCTGACTCTTGGAGTGATAACATCTAACCGTCGATCAATCAATATTTATCGTCAGGACCGGTCAAGAAATAAGAAAACGAAACTTGTTGAAATAACAATAATAATAGGAACAATAATACTTATTTACGTTCACACAAAATACTTCTTATTGGAGTATAGTTTCACAGAAATTACCTTAGAAGGATAGTGAATAAAACCGGTATCAGTGTCTTGACCACCACATGATGTAAAAAAGTTAGTTTTTTCAAAAATGAAACCGAGTAAATTATTAGCAATTTCATTATTTGATGCATCGCATAGATTTTGAATGACAGAAGTAACATTTGAATTCGATAAAGATTGTTTTGTAATTAACGTATAATCTGTATCTTTATTACCGATGGCAAGCAATCCTAGTAATTTTGTTTCACAATCTGGGAAATCTATAACGAAGAAAAAATATATGTTGCAGAGTAGATGGATGTATATGTATTAAATTAAAAGCTCCTATGGTTATATTACTCTAATTAGATGAGTTTATCGCAGTTTGATCAAGGGCAACAACAAAACACTTTATATAAAAGTATAAAGCTAAGTTTTCTAAAAAAATGTTTATACACTCTTGTTGATAGTCAAGCTAAGAGTATATTTCAGGAACAACTAGAGAAAGTTAGACAGCCATGTAAGTGATGCCCACCCCGAGGCAGTGTGGAATGACATCCGAAAAGCTGTAGAAACAGCAGTGATGTCTGCAAGTACGGTAAACCATAAGGTTAGCGAGAAACACTGGATCTCAGCAGCGTCTACCGCACTGATAGATGCTCGAAAACTCATTCCATCTGGCTCTGAACATAACGAAGAGCGGAGTCAGCTTAAGCGTAAGCTGACTAGAAGCCTACGCGAAGATCGTGAACAATGGTGGGTAGCGAGAGCAAGAGAGATGGAAAAAGCAGCAACTGTTCAGACTTGTTAAAGAAACCGGTATTAGGAACCCAACTGTAAGCGAAACAATCTCAGAGAAAGATGGACATATTATTCATTCTAAATCCAGGAGATTGGATCGATGGGCAGAACACTTTAGGGATCAGCGTAACTGGCCTTCAGCCACATTTCGGTTTCCCACGATCTCCAGTCGACCTGAATGGCAAGTCGATGTAGGTCCTCCAACTCTTTACGGAGATGGAAAAGCTATAGTAAATCTGAAGCGTGGGAGAGCAGCAGGCCCTGACAGATTTACCCCTGAGATTTTTAAGGATGGTGGTCCAGTATTAGCAGCGAGATTGACTGAGGTCTTAGGTAGAATCTGGGGATTGGACGTAATCCCATCAGATTGGTCTCAATTACTGATTGCGCTAGTCTATAAGAAAGGACAAAAGTCTGGTGTGTGACGAAATCTCAGCACGGATACAACAGGCTCGACTAGCTTTTGCCAACTAGCGTCATTTATGGCATAGGCGAGATATCCGTCTATTAACCGAAGGACGTGTTTACTGCGCAGCAGTTCGTTCCGTCCTACTTTATGGAAGTGAAACATGGCCGGTAAGAGTAGAGGATATTCGTAGGTTACTAGTATTCGATCATAGGTGTATTCGAAGCATTGCTCGTATATCCTGCGACCACTGTGTAAGTAACTCAGTTGTTAGGAAACGGGTACTAGGTAAGGATGGCAAATCAATTGATGAAGTAGTGAAACTTAATCAGTTGAGATGGCTGCCACGACTACCACGACGTGCGATGTTTTATGGTGTAGGAGTACGTTGGAAGAAAGTTAGGGGTGGCCAGACCAAAACATGGCACAAATCCATGAAGTCACTGACAAGTGGACTGGGCCATGTTGGTAGGTGTAGACTACCTGGTTGGGGACCGCGAGATGATAGCAACCGATGGTTAGAGATCCTGAATGACATGGCTCAAAATCGGTTGCAATGACGCAGGTGCATCCACTCTTTGTTTTCTCCCAAACTCTAATCTTCTGAATTCTTCATGTCCTTTATTTTCTTTCAAAATTTATTCCACTGGATTATACTCCTTAAATAACATCATCAAACCCTAATGTTCCCTATTACTAGTTATACTTTCACTACCTCTACCACTACGGTATTTGAATCGATAACTGAATCTCTGTACTAATGTGGTGTGGCAACTCGAACTGATGTACGTATGTACGAAGTTCCACGTTGTTACTGACTGACTGAATTGTTTCCAACAAACATCAGATATGTAAACAGCTGATTTAACAATCAAAAACTCATTTCATTAATCTGAATATGAATATTGTGTTGAGATATACTATCACAAGAATATCGTGTAATTTACAAGACTTAGATAGACATACTAACAAAGATGATTACGGTACTACACTGCTCTACCACTTGTAGTTAAATAAGTTTATGTATTATCTAAGTGATTAATAGACATAATGAAGGGATTTCAAAGCCTAAACATGTACTATTATCTATACCAAATAAAAATCCATTCATGATATGGAGCGTGCTCAACCTATTCATAATATGGTAACCTAAATCTCAATAACTTTAAGAGCCAATGAAGTTTGAAAGATATAGCATATAAATGAAGCATAAATACATGCATACCACAGGTAACTTAAGAGAATCTGAATGTCTTACTTCTTGGTTGCCTATACTTTAGCATATATTATAAGTGATTATTATCTCTCTACTAGAGATCAAGGGTTAAATTTTGAGGAATAACATGTTTTTTTATTGAGTTAATGAAACAAAACAGTTTCGAGCTATCTGTCAATTGTTACTAGTCACCTGGAGAAAATTCTTGCACAGATATAAATTTAATACCACCATTAGGAGATTCAGGTTTCAGATTTCGCAGATAGTAGAAGCTCGTAGATAAAAACCTTAAATTATGAAATTCAAATTAAGAATTAGTGGATTCAAGAAATATGAGGCATACCAATCGCTTTAATCTAAATCAATCTTTAAATAAAAAACTGACATGTCGTGATAGTGTAATGCAGTCCATAACTCACCGTATTGTCCAGTTGCATTTGGATCCAGTTCAGATTTTTGATAACAATTGTATTTAAATGAATCATCCGTAAACGGTACACATAAATTATGCAACTGACGCGAAATTACGTTTGAATTTAATTTATGATTTCTAAACAGTAATGGTTTATTGTTGTCCGATGGAGAATTGGTTTCGATTGGTAAGGGTGGTAAAAGACCAGCCCAACATGATTGTGCACATATCATATCCCAGCTTACATGATGTCCATAATCACCGTTCATTAATTTCGTTACTTGCTCAGCTAAATAGTGAAAGTAGTAATATTGATAAAGAAAAGTGGTAAATGTTGAAAATTCTCATAAAGTATGAGGTAGGTTGCTGACATTTGAGAAGTTATATAGGCATTTCTAGAAGATTGAAGTTTTAAGTACAAATTACAGGATTGTGTTGGTGATATTGTGAATAAAGTCTCAACCAGTTATTAAGAAGTGAGCAGATGCAAGTTGAAGATACTTCCCATTGAATTGAAGTATTAATCTGATGGCGAAAATACTTCGATACATCTGTAATGATGTTAACTGTTAAAAACACTTGTCCCTTAACATGGATGTAAACCGCAAATCTTCCAACCTAGTTTTTGATAGGATTTCTAATTTAATAATTCAGTTTAAAATATGAAAAAATACAAGGCGATAAACAAAATTGACTATAGTTTATGTTTTGTCTTACAAAACGACGTAAGCCAAATGTATAATAAAACAACTGAATACTTATCTTTATCTACTAAGCAAACAGTGAACGATATACGGGTTGTGGTTACATTATCATGTGTAATACAGTGTCGTGACTGTAAGATTTTTTTCCATGGATTACTAAAATCGTCACTGATTCTATCTTCCTAGATAGGAGGATTTTAAATGGATGATACTTCTGCCCCAGGAATTTTCAGCACAAAATGTTGGTATTATTTGCATAATACCAGAAAAATGGTTTATAAACTGACAGCGTTGAGTAGTCTCATCGACTGATGATATGTGCAATGCATAACTTATCACTGCTTATCCCGATGTAGCTAGAATTAGGGTACAGGTTGAATAAACGATAAACAACAACCAGTAAAAGACATAGTACTGGTTCACAAGCAATTGATCGGATAGAGTTCAGAGATACTGGGTTATTACTGTTACTATTATTTTCACTGGTTTACTTTACCTCTTGATTACGTTCCACTGTAATGATAGTAGCTTGAATCGATACAAATTTGTACCAGATTCTGCAATTTTTATGTTTGTAACCTCACTGAATTCTTTAAAAGAACTTATATAGCAGATATTGAGCTGTTCATTAGTTAACTATTCGTTTATTCTTAAATTTTTCCATCAATTATCTGAGATCTAAAACAATTTTCAAAGAAACTTAATGTGCCGATGTAATCGCCTAATTTTTTAACTCGAAACTTAAAATCATTTTGATATACAAGTGTATGTCATCTGTGTACTCCGAGTCGATAGTAAAGTCTTCAATGAAGAGATAAATCCTTAAAAGCTCACTTCCTAGGTGTACATCTAAAACAAAATCAAATCAAAATATAGGAAAAAGGCACAAATTGCGTGGACCCAACCGCAAACCCAATAGTTAAAAGTTAAATACTATACTTACCAGACTACTGTGTCAAGGCTGGTTGATAACGAGAATTGGAAGCGACACGTATACATGTAAAACCTAGTAAATCAGTCACTAAATTAGTCCTAATAAAAAATGTGATACTAACTGATCATCAGATGATAGATTTCTCCTATAATCGAGATGACTAAAGAGCATACATACACTAGATTGAAATGAACTTGTTGATTTAGTAGAGTATACTTACATTTAAACTAGTCTGATTTCAAACTTACGGTCCACGTATTTTTCAAAATAGTAATGATGTGAAAACGGAGCATTAATCAATACTAGATGTCACGGAAGAGTAAATATTTTATTAAAAGTACCTAGTTTGCATCTCCAATTTACGTATGTGCCTATTTTCCCGGAACGGATCCCAGAGATTAAACAAATCACTGATTCAAGTTTACTAGTTCAGACATAGAACAAAAGTCGAGATTTCCTTGCTATTTAAACTATGATATATATTTAAAGAACTGTTCTGACCATAACCATCACTTCCATTGACTAATTTCTCTGTAATAAATCTTATTATTTTGTAAAGTATATCTGTCAGTGCCTACATCTCATCAAGTTTATGTTGCAAGTTTAAACAAGTCAATTATTCTACAAACATCACTCCTTCATATATTACCTGACAGTTGTCTCCTATTGGTGCATTCTTCCAAACATCGATTAAATGACTTTTCCATATGAAATAAACGAGGTGCAAACCAGATCACTTCTTCATTAATAATTGATTCCATCTGTAGTAATTAAGAGTCGATTATTGCCAAATAAGATATAAACAAACCAAGTGTAACAAAGATAGATATTCAATTTTTAAAAAAATCAAAAGTCACATAATTAAGATTTTACAGTTTAAAAGCTGTACTTTAAATGAATATTTTAATTTAACATAAGTAATTTTATACCTAAGATACTTTTTGTCATAGAATGATACAAACTGAGGAGACCAGTTAACTCCAGAGACCACTGGAAGGTTATTTTGTTTTACTTTGTGGCTCTTTAGTAGAATTTATCCCTAATTATATTGACAACTGATATCAACACCTCTTTATGTTATGGGATGATCAGCTTTCTTCAAATAAAATCAATTCAAGAAATATTGGAACCACAATCTACAATGTCATTCAGTAAACATTCATCCACATTACAAATATACGTTGTGTACCGTATAAATGAAAATAAGATAATAAATATCATTGATGTTATTTTTTGCACCTTTGATAGAAGAAAAGACGTTCGATGATTTTGAAGTTGAAGGCTAAATGATTTGATCACAGTTGCAGATAACGGAGATACTCATCAGACGATGGAATATATATATATATATATATATATATATATATATATATATATATATATATATATATATATATATATATGATAAAAACCCAACTAAGAAACATGGAATTGAATATACAATAATCTTCAAGCTTTTGTAGTCAGTCTACAATTAAAGTAAGGTTTGTAATAAGTATGCATCAATCTCAATTGTTACAATTCGCATCCGCACAGCAAAAATAAATTGGTGTTTGAAATAACAGTAATGTTAGTGATAGTAGAACCTAACATAAGAATAATAATCTAAAGGGAATGAATGAAATTGTAGAATAAAATGTATGAAGTATTGTTAAAACTCAATAGGTCTAAGATAAACTATGAATGCTTCTGCGTTATTATGATAAACTCGGACTTACACAATATCTAAGGCTTTTGTAGATAATATTTAATTAGTAGAAAAGTATCTGGACAAATATAGGATAAGATTATTTTGAAAAAATTAATAATTCTTTGTAATAAACACCTATATATATTCAGAAATAGTTTGTCCTTACCTTAAACCTACCCTGGTATTATAAGTTTATAATCTAGCGTGGAGAGTTTTACTGTTTTTCGCATTATTTTCTTTATTATCTTTGTTTCCTCTTACTCTTCATATATTTAGTTGACCTTTTATTTTTATACATAAATGTTTTTAACAAGTATACGTGCGATTATATTGCTCGAAATGTATTGTACTTATGTATCAAATATTTCTTATAATCTTTGTCCTCTTATTACATTACGTAAATTTATCAAAGGCACTAATTACTATAAATATTAGTTACTTAAACCGCTCGATGACGCATCTACATTTTTATTCAATTTTGTTTTGTGTGTGTGATGGTTTTGTGTTCTGCGTTGTACAAGAATAAACTGTAGTCATTGCTTCGTATTGTCATCATACACTTTTACACCGTTATCTAATATGCCCATAAATGCCCTGGTACGACCGAGAGTGGGGAGAGTCTGCTCTCCCTCTCGAAATGCTCTCACATGGCCACGCGTATATAGCCTCTGCCAGGGAAGTCCTACTCATTGCCTTCTCGTGGCGGTGTTGTTTACGAAAATGAGAGAACGAAAAGCGAATATCCGGCGCTTTAACCGGATCCCAAATTAATGGTGCACATGGGCTCCAGTATCCTGAAGGAACAAATGGCGTATGAACCAATCGTTGGTCACCAGCAACCATGGGACTGCATCTCCTTACGATGCTCCACTGATTGTGGATCAGATCTTCAGGTCGAAGGCTCGGGGTGTGGCCCCCTAAGAAAACCACGTGCTTCGGTTTGGGCACCCGGGCAGTATCACAGCCCTCACACATATCGAATGAGATATGTGTGGTGCCTCCTTGTACCAATATCTATGTGTCAAAATAAAATAATAAAAACAATAAGTTATCTAATAACGGTTATGAGGACGGGTGATATATGAAGCATAGGAATGATCACGAAGATATTCCACAATGGAACAATACCATAAAATGATTATCGATTATACTTGTTTATTCCATAAAATAAACTTTTGAATACTCTATAAGTGCAGGTTTGTTATTCAGCTAATTAATCGAATTCTAATCAATAGATGATGTTTAATAATACATTGTAATTACTGACAACTCCTCACATAATGAGTCAGTTCTGAGTCTTTTCCCAGTTAAACTGTTCGCTATAGGTTGTTTGAATAAAAAATAGTATCGATTAAGATTGACTATAAGATGTTTATAAAACTAGTGCCTTAAAGAAAAAAGGAAAATAAAAACCAAGTTGATTCAGTAAATAAAAAAACTATTTTAAGGCACAGTGATGAGCACATTATGTGTTAAACAAGTCGTAGAGAATATTATTATGTGACAAATATCATATAAACGCTTACAAAAGTGAGAATGGAACTTCACTTACCTAGCGTAAACACATCAAAACACTAAACTAATTGGGAAAAGCATTCACTGAAATCACAGTAGTATACAACAGGAAAATATGATATAATTTATATGGTTTGCACGAGTTCAAGAAATTTATAAACATCAATATGATAATCAGCTCACTTGTTCCGGAGTTATTGCATCAGACTTTCTACAGCTAGGTCCTTTTATGGTAGCCATTGTGTTAAAAAACGACTGAAGACTGAGAACATCTCTTTTGGCTACTTCGGATACCAAAGCTCCCAGGAGAGATTTTAATTTCCCAGACGTAGTTATTTCTGTATCAAGACCAGTTAAAACAGATGCACGAAAAGCTCGATGAATAAGCTGACGAATTTTCAGAGGTAAACCTTGACGTCCTGGTAATAAACCATCTGATAAGGCGAATGCTAATGCACGACTATGATCGACCAATACTCGATAGGCGGTATCTCGATGCCACATATCAACAAGATCATTGTCCATGTTAAAATTTTTCCAAGAATGATCAAGAGCAAGATGTGATTTTGAGCAGACAGCCTATATAGGTAAGTCGAAGCGCACATGAGAACGCAATAAATGAAACAAAAATTCACTGGTAATATAAGCACTTTTGACAGTCATCTATGGTGATTTATAAAAATACAAACTATCACTGAAATTTAGATAATATTCACCTCAGTTATCAACATATAGAACACTGTTTGATCTTCTTGTCTCTCTGCTGCCAGACATTCTGTTCACGGCTAACATCATATACTACTTACGTCTACATGAGTAGCACACACCACAGTATTAATGTTCCCTTTGACTCTTTGGTTTACTATACAAGACCACAAATGAGAGTTTTGTCTCCAGAGATATAATATTATAACAGTAATTTGTTTATTAATAGCGGCTTATTGTTATAAAAAATTAGTTCGAAACACTTTCCCAAAACCAATAACTTGAATACTTCTTTATAATTAGGAATGATAAACGAACTAACAACCCCATAAGTCACTAAGGCGATATGTGTTTATACTTCATTTCTAATGGCCAATTCTTAACAATTTGCATCATTGATACTAATTAATTATATTTTTGGTTGTATAAGATCACTACTTATATATTCACACTACCACTTTTTAAGGATGACATTGTTGTTCTCAAAACAGTATAAATCTTTTTTCGTCAACAAATGGAGTCACATATCGTTTATTTTCCTTTCACAGTCGACATTGAATACAAAATTAAAAATTTCTGTGGCAATTAAGGTTAAAATGTTTGATTAATTCGAGTGAAACTAATAATTAGAAATTAAGTACTTAATAATCTAACTAGCAACGAATAAAAATCAAAGTGAAAACCTTTTAAGAATGTACTTACAGAAGATGAAAATTTTCCAGATATTTTGTTCCACAGAGAAGATAGAGTAATTTCTGATTGATCTTTGCCTGTTTTAGTTTCAATATCTTGTAGATGATTGGATAAAAATAAACCTTGATAAACAGGTACAGAACGATTACATGAGTTTGCCTTTGAGTGTATAAATTCCATCAAACTGTTCATCTCATAGGAATCATAATTCGACGTAATTCCCTGCAAGATGATTAGTGAAAAATGAACAAGATCAAATAATACAAGACAAACGGACGGGTCAAGCCATTTTTATGTTATACGCCAAACAAAATTTGTTTGTTAAATTTGTTCATAAATGAAGTATTTGGAGACGAATTTTATGCAGTCGATGAATTATCAAAATTCTCAAAACACAATGTCTTTGGCCACATGATGATGGTTGTTATAAAACGTAAAGATAAAAAACGTATCTAGCTACTGATGAACCTAAAAAAATCTCTGAAATTACGTTTTCATCAAACCCAGGTCAAGATGTTGATAATTTTTTCAGTTTTGATCTTAATATGGTAAAGTCAGAAGCATTATCAATCGACCCCAAGTTTTTTGATATTAGGAAAATGGTTAATAAGATGGAAAACATGTATACATAAACGGAATGTATAGTTAGTACCTTCGTCAATGATATCGAAAAGTTGAAATATACACTAGTTAATTACTGCTTTAAGGACTTAAGCAGCAGATATAATTCGAAAGGCATTTTGACGAAGAAGTGCAAACAAGTTTCACATGAATTTAAAACGAGTGGTTATTTGTTAAACTCCGCCTGTAACTCTTCCAGAGTTACTGCCGGTCCCAAGCCCGGGTAAAGGAGGAGGGTTGGGCATGGGGTTAGCGTCCCCATCCCGTAGAAAACTAACTCGCTAAAAAAACGCTAACCAGAAAAAATAACTCAAACCATTTAAACCCTGCCCTAGGAGTTAGAGGTAATATGACGCTTCATGGTGAAAGCCGAGTTCCTTCGGAAGCCACGAGGCCGATGCCCCTTCTAACAACCAGAGCAACAATTTTTATAGGTACATGGAACGTCCGGACAATGTGGGAGACCGGGAAGACCAGTCAAATAGCAACGGAAATGAGGAGATACAACTTGGCAGTACTGGGAATCAGTGAAACCCATTGGACCCAAGCTGGACAACAAAGGCTAAATACGGGAGAGATGCTGCTATACTCCGGTCACGAAGAGGAAAATGCTCCACACACTCAGGGAGTTGCTCTAATGCCATCCAAATTAGCACGAAATGCACTTGTAGGATGGGAATCTCACGGATCCAGAATCATCAAAGCATCATTCAAAACAAGGAAGGAGGGGATCACAATGAACATTATCCAATGTTATGCACCCACCAATGATAGCAACGACGACGTTAAAGATCAATTCTATGAGAGGCTGCAATCAATCATAGAGAAGTGCCCAAGAAAGGACCTCACCATTGTGATGGAAGATCTAAACGCCAAAGTCGGAATGGACAACACCGGATATGAAGACACCATGGGACTACATGGACTGGGAGAGAGAAACGAAAACGGGGAAAGATTTGCAAATCTGTGTGCATTCAATAAATTGGTCATAGGCGGTACAACATTTCCACACAAACGTATACACAAAGCTACATGGATCTCACCGGACCACACCACAGAGAACCAGATAGATCACATTTGCATCAATAAAAAGTTCCGAAGGACAATGGAAGATGTGAAAACCAGGAGAGGAGCGGACATAGCTTCAGATCATCACCTAGTTGTGGCCAAATTGAAACTGAAGCTAAAGAAGAACTGGACAAACAGCACCACAAAGGTTCAATACAGCATTCCTTTGAGATACTGACAAACTCAATGAATTCAAGGTAGCTCTCAACAACAGGTTCCAAGCCTTACAGGATCTACTGAAGGAAGAAGAAACTACTATGGAGGATAGCTGGAAAGGTATCAAAGAAACATTAACTTCAACGTGTCAAGAGGTTCTTGGCCCCAAGAAACATCATCACAAGGAATGGATCTCTACAGAAACACTGGACAGGATCAAAGAAAGAAAGAACAAGAAGACAGCAATTAACAACAGTCGAACAAGAGCACAGAAAGTCCAAGCACAAGCAGAGTACATAGAAGCAAACAAGAAAGTGAAGAAGAGCATTAGAGCTGATAAGCAAAAATACGTGGAAGAACTAGCAACGACGGCGGAAAAAGCTGCAAGAGAAGGAAATATGAGACAGCTTTACGATACGACGAAGAAGCTTGCAGGGAAATACAGTAAACCAGAGAGACCAGTCAAAGACAAAGAAGGAAGACCAATCACTGAGATTCAACAACAGCGCAACAGATGGGCAGAGTACTTCGAGGAACTCCTGAACAGACCGGCTCCAATGAATCCACCGGACATCGAAGCAGCACACACAGATCTTCCTATAGATGTCAATCCACCAACGACCGAAGAAATCAGAATGGCCGTCAGACAAATCAAGAGCGGGAAAGCAGCAGGACCTGACAATATACCAGCTGAAGCGTTGAAGTCAGACATCGAAGTAACTACAAGCATGCTTCATCTTCTATTCAAGAAGATTTGGGAGGAGGAACAAGTGCCGACGGACTGGAAGGAAGGACACCTCATCAAGATTCCAAAGAAAGAAGATCTGAGCAAGTGTGAAAATTACAGAGGCATTACACTACTGTCAATACCAGGAAAAGTCTTTAACAGAGTGTTACTGAACAGGATGAAAGACACAGTAGACGCTCAACTTCGAGATCAACAAGCTGGATTCCGTAAGGACCGGTCGTGCACAGACCAAATTACGACACTACGGATCATCGTCGAACAATCAGTTGGGTGGAACTCGTCACTGTACATCAACTTCATTGGTTATGAGAAGGCATTTGACAGTGTAGATAGGAGAACGTTATGGAAACTTCTTCGACACTACGGAGTTCCTGAGAAGACTGTCAACATTATCCGGAACATATACGACGGACTACAGTGCAAAGTAGTGCATGGTGGACAGCTGACAGACGCATTCCAAGTAAGGACCGCATTCAGAAAAGGCTGTTTACTCTCTCCCTTCCTGTTTCTTCTGGTGGTCGACTGGATTATGAAGACCTCGACATCTGAGAGAAACTACGGCATACGATGGACAGCTCAGAACCAATTAGACGACTTGGACTTCGCAGATGACCTAGCCCTCCTATCACATACACACGAACAAATGCAGATAAAGATAGCCAGCATAGCAGCAGTCTCTGCATCAGTAGGCCTCAAAATACACAAAGGGAAAACCAAGGTCCTCAAACACAACACGGAGAACAGCAATCCAATCACTCTTGATGGCGAAACTCTGGAAGACGTGGAATCCTTCACATACCTGGGAAGCATCGTCGATAAACAAGGAGGTTCAGATGCAGACGTCAAGGCGAGGATTGGCAAAGCTAGAGCGGCATTCCTTCAACTGAAGAACATATGGAACTCAAAACAACTTTCAACCAATATCAAAGTCAGAATCTTCAATACGAACGTCAAGGCAGTTCTACTGTACGGAGCTGAAACTTGGAGAACTACAACAACCACCATCAAGAAGGTACAAGTATTCATCAATATCTGTCTACTCAAGATACTCAACATCCATTGGCCGGATACCATCAGCAACAGCCTTCTGTGGGAGAGAACCAACCAGCCTCCAGCTGAAGAGGAAATTAGGAAAAGACGATGGAAATGGATAGGACATATATTGAGGAAATCATCAAACTGCATTACGAGACAAGCGCTAACTTGGAATCCTGAAGGGAAGCGGAAAAGAGGAAGGCCAAAGAACACATTACGTCGGGAAATAGAAGCAGATATGAAAAAGATGAATAAGAACTGGAAAGAGCTTGAAAGGATTGCCCAGGACAGGGTTGGATGGAGAATGCTGGTGAGCGGCCTATGCTTCTTCACGAGGAGTAACAGGCGTAAGTAAGTAAGTAAGTAAGTAATTTGTTAATCTTAAGACCGAGCAGACGAAGGTTATAAAGTAGTTCGGATGGACAGAAAAGACTATTCAGAAAAATGTACGCTTTATTAAATGACGGGAGTAAGGTTTAAACTCAATTAGCTTGTTTGAAATCCTGAAACCTAAAAGGACAATAACAGCAATACTACGTGGTCTGCCTAAAAATATAAAAATGGTTCTATCCATCCGAGCAGTTTTGGGTATGAATAATTCTGCATATCACCCTAGAGCGTAACTGCTAATAAAATTTTCGGTAACAGGAAGTATTTACTATCAATATTAAACTATAAGTACAAAAAAAATTATTGAACTAACCTGCATCACACATGCCAGTCGTTCTAGTCCCATTCCAGTATCTACAAATGACTTATCTAAAGGTTGAAGAAGGTCAGGTTTCAAATGTTTCTCTGTCACATCGTTATCAGCTATGATACGATGTGTTATGAAAACACAATTCCACAGTTCCAAAACTTGAGGGCTAGAAGTATTCACTAAACAACGTGCACAGTCTAAGTGATCTCCACCGCAGAGTGCTTTAAAATCTATGTGTACTTCGGTTGACGGACCACACAATCCTCCACCACTAAACTGATTTGCACGCCAAAAGTTTGATTCGATACCGAATGGCATTAATTTTTGATCCATCACCCTGGAATAAGATAAATTAAGTTTACTATTTCAGTATTGGTCAGAAACGGTGAATCATATTATTACATATTTTCATATCTTATCGAATATTGTAATACGAAGGGTTCATATTACAAAAATATTTTGTACTGTAGAAAACCCAATTATTGAGATGGAGGTGTAGTAAAAAACATGATAGTATAATGTAAATGAGTTAAGTGCCACATAATGCGTAAGTTGTATTCAATGTCTTTTGAGCTCTGGTAAGTAAAAGTATCTAGTAGAAGAGAGTGAAGGTGATTTCCTCGTCGAGCTGTAACTACGGCCACTACGTTGTACGTTATAACCCTCACCCAAATTCAAGGGCGCTAATCTGTGTTTGGTAAACGAGTGGAATAAATAAGGTAGATTATTTCTTTTGACAGCTTAAATAGCAATTTATTATAACAGAAGAATATTAAGCTGGATCTACAAAACTCAAAGTTTATCTCCAGCTGAACTAGGAAACTTTCAAATTCATATTTGAACAAATGTACGTCAGTAGGTGTTTCTTCCCTCACATTGATAATCCTAGCTTCATGCTAATATAAAAATATTTTAGCTAATATCAACAAAGAATAAAACAATACGGTAGGTCAGTTAGTTACATACACACCATAAAAAAATTTAGAAAGAATAATAATTTACAGATCTCAAAATGCACTGAACAATCACAACAGTTTAAAAATACTAAATCCCTTCGATTTGTTCACACAAAAAGATGAAACTTTAACGAAGCAGACTAGTTGCCACCATCTGTTTGGTGGGTTGAGTTAAAATATTATTTCACTGTGAAAAAGGGTCCGATGTATGATCTCAAGAGAAAATTTGCATAAAACTGAATTATAATAGTTTCACCTTAGAAAAATTGACATTGTTTAAAATATACACAATCATAAGCGCAAACTTTACTGTGTGAATGAATAAACTAATGTAAAAACTTCACTGTTTTTGAAGTGATTGTGATGAGTATGTTAACAAATGAAACTCAGTAGCTAAGTTCATGCTCATGTTTCATATTTATTGTGTGGAAGTTGATGACGCTAGTCGATTATTCAGATTTCGCTCTTTAACGGCATGAGTCTATCACACGAACATTTGTTCATTGCCTACTGATGAATACTCATATAAATCGAAGTAATATAATAAAAATGTTTTCTATTACAACTAACTGTTCAACTATCCCGAAAAGTAGTCTAGACAATGAATTATCAACTTACCCCAAGTTCAGCCAGATATCACGTGTTTCATCATCGGGAGGAAGTCCAAGTTTTTGATCACCACCGAAATATGTTATGTAAATTGCATTGGTAGGCAGGTTTAACACCTCAGTAAGAAATTTCCAAACCTGAGAGCAAGCCTCTTTCTGAAGAATACCACAGTCACATAAAAAACCGAAAAACAGAGATAGCAACAATTTTCATAGAATTATTTGAATGACAAAGGTTTAAATCAGGTATACTAAATAACTCTGAATAAAACAGGTATAGATAGTGGGTGATATATCTTAAAATCTGTTACAATGATGCAGAAAAATTCAACCTTATTTCGTTAAATCCTGAGCTCGGGTATAAATGCATCCATATCTTTCTATTTCATTCTCCCGAACCATATTCTTAACATTAAGGGCATCTAGCTTTCACTGCTACTAAAAGAATTTCGACACTTTTGCTACTCATCTTACGAATTTCATCTCGTGACCCTGACATGGTATGGCAATTCGGGCCAACACATATACGTTTCAGGCTTTAAGTTGATTATAACCAACTGATTCGGCTAGCCCGTGATTAATAATAATAATACATAATAATGGTGGTCTGTGACTACATGTTTTGCAATGAAGTATCATTTCAGACATCTCTTAAAAAGTAATTGAGACTTTAAAATGTTAAAAACGTCGGTAAAGTAAAACCGTATACAAAATGTTTACTATGTAGATATTTTCGAAAGCGTAGATTTAACTTTAAAGATAATAACACTAGAGTAATTGAGCAATAATGACCACAAGGTTCAGTTAAATTCGGCTGTAAATAAAGGGTCACCTGCTACTCATTAGCTATAGAGCATAATATTAAATTAGTTATTCATGACACAAACATTCTGAAAGAAACCCGACAACTTTCCGGACTAGGTACAGTACATTTCCGATTGGACGTTCTGTGACACCTGGTTCCCACTCCTTATTACCTTGATACGATTTGTCAAGTACCCTTTCACCCACCTGGAAGCTACGAGTGCCCGTACGATACTCATTCGTGGGTTTATTTGTCTTTCTGGGTGGCAAAATACTGTTGAAGACTGTCCGAATTTTCCTTCCGAACATACATTTGGCTGGCGACTTTCCTTCTGGTACTGCCGGATTAGGGGTAACTCTGTAAGACATTATGAACTTACTGATCACTTGTTCTGGGATACCCTCATCTCTCCCTTTGACCAGAGCTCTTTTTATAGTATCCATGAATCTTTCTGCTTGGCCGTTCGACTGAGGATGGTACGGAGGAGACTGTAGATGCGATATGCCATTTTCACTGCAAAAGCGCTTGACATAAACTGAGTGTCGATGTCGGTCATTAAGATTTCTGGAACCCCAAAACAAGCAAACAATCCTGACAATCTTCTTATTGTACTCTCTGATGTCGTTTCGGCATGTCATATACTTCTGGCCATTTTGTAAAAGCATTCGACACACAAGATATAACAACGGGGTAGAAAAAAAAGGCCAAGACAATCAGCACACAGGATTCTCGCTGGTGTCCTTCAACGACATTGACTGCTAATTAATCATACAGTATTTCAGAAAATGGCTATTTCTTCGATCGATTACAGTTGCTATTTGAGCGACAGCAGCAGCGTTTCAAAAATAGCCAGTTGAATGTTTTAGACAAATTACGCACACGGCTTCTAAATCATCCATGTTTTGGAGATGTAACAAAAGTTGATAAATTAGTTTCTAATTTGCATACCGGGCTGGAAAATGACTGCAGAACGTATGAATGTGTCGATAAAAGCCTCTATGAATCCTTGACGAGCAGTAATGTAAGCGAATCAGCGGCAGTCATTCATGATCCACCCAGTGATCCAGAAATGTTCATTTCAGAAACATGCCCTGTCGTGAGTTCAAATCCCACTGCCCCCGAAACACCATGTACAAACACTGACTTGTCCAGCTCACAGACAGACGACGTCTTATTAAATGCACATGAAATTATAGCAGTACCTGCCCACGAATAGACATAAAATGAATCAAGCAGCATAATGAACACAATTGCATCAAATGGAGCTCATCATTCCAGAACAAAAGTTCCTGATGAATCTACTTATTGGAATTCTCTAGTTTTTCTATCAAATATGAGTTATCTTAATGACTCATATGCTTTTGATCAAATTTCTTACAAAAATGAAAAATAATTTGTCAGATGCATCAAACGATGATCAAAAACCCAATAAAATTTTGATAGATGCTGATTATTCTAGTGATCGACTATCTACTAATGAGATTTTCAAGAAATCCGATGACAATGTTTCAGAAAAATCAAACTTTGATGACCTCATATCGAGCGTTGTTGATCCTCACCACTTAGTCAATTCTCTGTTTAATGTGACAAATATGTTTTAAGTAAAGTCAAATTAATTGTAGCTTGAGAATATGAGGATCCAACATTATTTCGTGGGGGAGGATGAAGTCATAAAAATTAAGAGGGATCTCAACATAGTCTTCAAAAAAAAGAAGGGGGGGTGATATGATGGAAACAAAAGTCAAGATTCGGTTGATTTACTCATTATGAGTTTTATTCAACATTACTTCTGTTTTGATTCAATGTAATGATTACTCAATGTAGTATTTATTTCCTTTTCTCGTATGATATTTTATTCTGTATAATATACGACATTCTTGTATTCAGTTGACATGAACTATGCTCTATATGTGTGATTTGTGATAACTGAGTATTTTTCATGTATGTGATTTCATTCTAATTATTCATCAAAATGGGTGTACAATCAATATATAAATGAGTGTATTTTTGACTAAGGTCGTCGTCGTCATCATAGTGTTTTGGGGATAATAAATCTTCACGTATACCAGTCTTGCATTCTTACATTCGCGTCGTGAGAATTGTGGAGGTCCCTTCGTCCCGAGTATAAGTGATCAGTGATTCTGACATAACAATCAGCGACGACCAGATACAAAAAGTAGCATTCCATTCACAAGTTATAACACCCTCCCAAGGTAGACATATATTGGCGAGCAAATACACTTTACATTTTAGCTGCTTTTTGATAAAACAAATTCATACATTGTTCAGAAGACCATAATGATCTGAAAAAATTCCATCACCACAGACGGCATCTATTGTCTTTTTATTTGAACGCACATATTGTTTATATTTAACCGGTTAACAATGTTTAACTTTACCAACTATTATTATTTTAACCTTATGACTAGTGTTAACCTGTTTATAAAAAAACCCATGTGAAACTAAAACTGCTGTAAATCATAACCGTTGAGTTAGCTTGTTATTTTGTGAGTGATTCCCATAACAAGTTGACATCAACTGAAGTACTAGCAACTAGAAAGTGCGATGTGGTTGTATTGTATTCACCGTTCGCACGAAATGAAATATAAGCTGTCAAGGTTATTAGGTGAAGACAACTCTGTTTATGCACTGAGACGGAGTCCAATTGATTACAATCTCAATAATACCTACGATAAACACCACTTGTGATGAATTTTAGAGGGAGCTTACAAATAGATTTCAAACTGTAAAGTAGTACGAATGACTGACTTTTATATGATTAAAAATTGACGCGTTTGCCTAGTAGTATGTAAATATTACCCATCTACGAAGTTGCCACACTTTTAATTCTCTCTATAATACCAAGTTCAACATGGAGGAACGGACCTAATAAAACTTTGTTATTTTAAGAGATATATTCCAAAACTCTTGGTGCTTTCGTTGTATTAGGTTTATGTCTCTAAATAAATAAGACAGTTTTTGAATATGACGGTGCGACAGTTGACTTCCTAGTTAATAGTCAATGAAACCAATACACCAAACGAATGTTTAGTGAAACTCATCTACCAGGAACAGGTCTATGTATTTAACCTTGGGCCATGTTTTTTGTGCGAGAGCGAATGGCTTCCAATTGTTGAAAATGAGATCGGCGAAACGGGGTTCGAACCCGTGATCCAATGATTTAAATGTTGCATATAAGTTAAGTATTCACGATTGTATTTGAAGTAGATATCATTGTACGCGAATTCAATACAAATTTTCGGACTAATTATTTGGTCCAAAGAAATTTATCAAGACAGAATAGATTAAAATAAACATATCCACGATAACTCTTATTTTCCACGCTTAGAACACAACATAAAATCGTCAACCATCATGAGTTACCTAATTTGGTGAAAATGAACACAAAATTGACTGATCCCATACGAATCAAAACTTTCGCCCATAAAACTGAGACAAACCTTATAGTAGTCCCCGAACGACCAACTGCCCAACATTTCAAACATTGTGTGATGATGCCTATCATATCCCACATCATTTAAATCATCATGACGACCACCGATTCGAATACATGGCTGTGAGTTGGTAGCACGTCGTAACTGCTTAAATTCTGAGCAAATAATATCCGACTGGTTGAGAAAAATTGATTTAAATTGGTTCATACCTATCCTGACCGAATAGAAAAAAAGTACAGGGAAACCAACAAGTAACTTTAAAAAATTTAATTTTATGAGACTATATTAATGTGATGTGTTGCTGAGGAGTCCACAATAGGACGAAACGGCGGCTTAGTGCTTCCAGGTTTTCAATGGTGGTCTAGCGTCAATCGGTTCATGATCTCAATCAAAAACTTAATATTCTCCACAACCTTATTGTAATGAATTACAGAGCAAAACATGGTGATACTACTCGAGAATTAAAACCTCGACAAATCAAAATATGGAACTTGCAACCCATTAGCAAAACACCAGACCCCTAAACCTACGAGGTAAGGCTGAATATGAAATGCAGAAAGGTAATCTGAAACTGTAGCTAAGATAAAAAAATATTAAATAATATGATAGTATTGCAAAGTTTCAAAAAAAAGACCATATAAGATTATGAGATAAGGTTATGTTCATAAGCAAACAACCTGTAAATAAAAGTGCACCATTTCATAACAAATATTATTGATGGAAAAAGTTGAAGTACTTTCTACATAACATGGTTTTTGAGTGTATGAAAATGAGTCTGGGAAACCAATTCTATTGTATGAGTTGATATATACGATGGACACTAAAAAAATGTGTGACAATGAAGTGCATCCTTATGAAAAGATGATAATTCTATGAAAACTATAAAAACATAACATTCTAAATAAAAATGAAGCTTATTTAACATACTTTAATGCTCAATGTAGTAAAAGTGACAAATTAAAATTTACTCAGTAAAGTAATCGGAAAACTTTCACTATACAACGATTCCCATCTTAGCGAATCCTTTCACAATATCATCAAGTAATTTAAAAATGAAGTGACAAAATTAGTATGGGAGCCTATGATTTTGTTTTGTGCCTTGGTACGACCGAGAGTGGGGAGAGTCTGCTCTCCCTCTCGAAATGCTCTCACATGGCCACGCGTATATAGCCTCTGCCAGGGAAGTCCTACTCATTGCCTTCTCGTGGCGGTGTTGTTTACGAAAATGAGAGAACGAAAAGCGAATATCCGGCGCTTTAACCGGATCCCAAATTAATGGTGCACATGGGCTCCAGTATCCTGAAGGAACAAATGGCGTATGAACCAATCGTTGGTCACCAGCAACCATGGGACTGCATCTCCTTACGATGCTCCACTGATTGTGGATCAGATCTTCAGGTCGAAGGCTCGGGGTGTGGCCCCCTAAGAAAACCACGTGCTTCGGTTTGGGCACCCGGGCAGTATCACAGCCCTCACACATATCGAATGAGATATGTGTGGCGCATATGCATGTATGTGCATTTACAAATATAGTATAGTAAGATAAATAATGTCGGTAATAGGATGTTCAAAGATTAGGCTTAACGGTGAGGTTTTAATTGATTAGAGAATGAGTGACGTACAAGTCATCTATAACATTTAATTATGTTTATTCTGTGTTCGTATTCTATATACGAGTACGTTGTTTTGTTACATATAAAATTACTTACCTGGTTAGTGATCTTGCCTTAGACTTCTCCCGACCGTTGTTGCTACCTTGACGTGGTGGTCGGGCTTGCCTATCGTGATGAAGTAACTGAGCTATACTGGCTGGAACAACCGTTCCTCAAGGTCCTACCATGCCAGACAGGTCGGTTGAAGAGCGGTAAGACTAAAAGCAACAAAACCAAGGTCCGAAGGCGAAGTCGTACTGCTGACTGTACAGAGGTGTGACAGCAGTAAGGTGTTTCCTTCAGACAACCAGCATAACAGCGATGCTGCCTTCCCACAAGGAGGGGTGGGGTTAGAAAAGGTCGACCCTAAAAACGCACACCTCACCTTACCCCACGGATATCCGTCTTCGGCGGTAAGGTCTCAACAAGTACGGAGCTAACAAAAAAATTACTCATAAAAAGGTCGTGTGTGACCGACCTCAAGCAGCTGTCCCTTGGGCACTGCGGTCACGCTCTCGGGTCACTAAGACCACCTCTAATCCAATTTCCTTTTCAGGTACCTCCAGCAGAACCCTTCCACGGTGTGGGCAACCGGGAAGTGATAACCGCCCTCATACCTCTAACAGCACTCAAGACCACTGACTGACTGACTGACCTTAGACTTCTAATTATTCGAGGGCCTAACTCAATAATACAATCTCGTGGGTAACCGTCATTCGCCTGTACTATATTATTAGGTTCATTCAGCGATCGCCATTTCATTCAATGACTACAACAATCGAAAATTTCATCTAATCAAATCCGAAAACTTTCCCCGTATAACAGGTAGGGACTCATGTGTGTTATAAATAGTAATTGAAAGTGATTAAGTAAATTAACTACAGATTTCATAACATTTATTCAGGGACTATTAGTAATGACTGTGCTTGTATTTTGAAAAAAGATGGATGGAAACTGAAGCTGGATAACTTTAACACACACAATTTACAAACCTGCATTGATGAAATAGCTTCCTTCGTGACGCTTCGGAAATACAGAAGCCGGTGCTACCACTGAATGTTGATGACTTCGAAAAAAATTAATAAATTCTCGTCGAAGTTCCGAAATGGAAGAGTTTCGTAAACGAATAGATGATGCAAGAGAAACATGTCGAGGGACTGACTGATCAGGAGCTAATGTACAACGACCAGTAGAATGTATGTCCTGACCAGATGACGGTACTATTGCAAAACCTTTGGAGATTATATACGATGGATACTTCTGATCGAACTAAAGCGTTCGAAAGCAAAGAAACAGTTACTATTAAAGTATATGTAATAAGTGAATATTTAGTATAAAGACAAACGTAGGTTTCCAAGCAACGAATTATCACTGGATATCACTAGCTTGAGAAAATACAAAAACAGGTGAGTACAAACCAGTTTTCTGTAAATCGCACGTCTTAACAGTGATAATGATGAAATGCTGATACAATGGATGGTTAAAATACTTTTTTAACCACAAGTATATTACGAAAATAGGTTAATAAAATAAGACTGGTCACGTTATATCAGATCCAGGATTCACGACCCAGAAAAGAGAACCAGAGAATCCACTAGATAATACTTTGTTCAACATAATTACAAGCAGTCACTTTTAGTGAGTCAGGATTAGAAATCAATGAGAGGAAAGGGAATCATGTATTTAATAGTCAGTAGGCTATGACTGTCTGTCCATACTAAACGACCACTAATTTTTACTTTTACTACCACACATCAAATACTAAAATAAATTGGTAGGTTACATAATGATAGTTACTCTTTACTTTAGATTTCTACCGAACCTGATTATCCCAAATACGCTATACATATTTTATAACTATTATTATAAATTTATAAAACACCGAGTCAAGGGCTTGAATTTGAGCCACACTCTAAGTACGGGGGCTAGTGATAGCGAACGACCGTCTAAACCAAGGTAGTTGGAGTATGGTTCGAATGTTTGAATCAACAGCTAAGCGTTGGACCACACATATTAACATGGCTCAGTTCAATCGTCAGTTCCTTCATGGACTAAATGCATGTTTTGGTTTGGCCGTCCTCAGCTTTTCTTCAGCCTACTCCTACACCACCCAACATCGCATGTCGAAGCACACTGTGGTTATACATAGGTAACACATGTCCAAACCACCTCAGTTTATGAAGATTTATAATCTCGTCAATCTATTTATCACCCTCAACTAGCACCCTATTCTTAATCCAGACATTACTTACTCGATAATCTCAAAATACACGGATAATGCTTCGAAGGCACCTATGATCGAAAACGAGTAATTTGCGAATATTCTTTATTCTTAACGGCTATGCTTTACATCGATAAAGTACGACGGAGTGAACTGCTGTGCAGTAAACTCGTCCTTCAGTTGGCAGACAGATAAATCGCCCACGCCACAAGTGACGCAACTTGGTAAAAGTCAGTCGAGCCTTCCGAATTCGTGACGAGATTTCGTCAGATACCAGACTATCAGTACCAATTGAACTCCTAAGATAAGTGAAGCGGTCAACACGCTCAACTACTTCACTTCCTATCATTAATTCGGGCGATTACACAAGCAAATCGTGAAGCGACACTTTGCATCTGGAGGGAAAGAGCCGTATCCCAAACGTGCTTGCATTGTTGCTTAAGGAAGTCAGAAGACTGAATTTTTTCAGTGTCCACCAAATAGAATTATATCATCTGCGTAATATCAGTCAACAAGTGAATACAACTACTGTCAAAAGTTGAGAATTATGTTTATGTTCCAGAACCGGTCGAACAGTGAATATGTGGTACATACATACACATCCACGTCTGAAATCAGCTTGGTTTTTTCGAGTTCGCTCCTCACCGGCTCTAGTCAAACGTTAAATATATGCTTAGCTTTAGTCACACTACTTTTGTAAGGACTAGTAATACTATCCATTCGCTTAAACCGAAGTAGGTGAAGGGGAGTTCAAGCCGGTGACCGAGTGCTTGAAAGGAACGTTTTGATCACTGGAAAACCAAAATATAAAACATCGCAGGAATATTTGCAGAGGAACATTTCCTTCAACATCCAATATGTTTCTAGTGAAACAGTGTAGAAAACTAAGGCCAACAGACCACATAAATAATAACTCAACCACAATTAGTTCTAAATCAATATTCCTAGCTATAATTTTCAATATAGCTTAGATTCGACCGTTATTTTGACAGACTGTACATGGTAAAAAGTATGTTCTCGTATAACCGTGACGTTTTGCGACCACATTCACTTTTCGCTGAATGCATATCCTTACAAATGATCTCATTCATTCACACTATACATTACACTTTAATAGTGCAATGTCACATTCTACCGATAGTTGTAATACAAGGTCAGTCAGTCAGCTACAACACACGACAGGGAACATATATGCATCGGTCCAAGTTGCCACACCTCATCAGCACAACAAGATGAATAACAAATTCATAGAAGTTACTTCAATGGTAGTAATATATAAAAAAAAGATTGTGTATAAGGATATAAAACAGGAAGGAAGAACTAGTTCATAGAAATAAATGTATGAAGCAATTTTAATCTCACCGTTTAAGGACAGACAAATAGTGTGTACACTGACGCCATTGTGATCGATTCTGGGCCATGTAACACGGGGTCTCCAAACATTGGTTACGATAGTCACGCGGACCCCAACCAAGTAGTCTACCAACATGGCTCAGGCAAGAAGTTAGTGATTGATGCCACGATTTGGTTTGGCCGCCCCTAACTTTTTTCCAACCATTCCCAACACTAGTCAGTGTTGCGCGTCGTGGAAAGACATAGCGATAACTCGTTTTATTCGCTCGGTGTCTTTCACTACTGAAGCGATAAGTGACGGTTATTTATTTTGAAATCAAACTATTTTAAGTCCAAAAGCGTCAAAGACCTACTTATCAACATCACTAAGATCCTATGCAGACGTAACCACTATCTTCTGTTATCTTCAGTATCTTACTTGACTTACTCGAGTTTTTCTGACCCGAAGGAAGAAGCTAGTTTTTGATGTCTGGAGTTGAAAAAAAGCCATCGTTCACTGTTTAATCCTTAACCAACAACGATAGTAGCGACACACCTATAATAAATGAAATTGAATGGAGAACGACTAGATGGGCCATACAGAAGACAAGAGACAAATAAAGCTGACATCACACAGCCTTATTTTTATTATTGGTCAAAAGTGATTGTTGATGATATCAAAAAGATTCACAAAATAAACGTTATTCGTACCGTAGTTCTAATAACTATTGGCCTATAAGTGGATCTAGCCCAGATTACACAAATGAGAATCGCTGCAAAAAACGTACGCGAGACAAGACTTGTGTGCATCGCTTTGAGAAAATCTGTGGTTGCACACTAAGGACTTTTTTAAACTAGCCTAACTCCAATGATCCCGAGCCATTCCAACAACAATTGAGAGCGCACCACTCAAACTAAACAACTCAATGTTTTTATTTACTTTCGCCAATACCTCACTCCAAATTAATGTCAGATATAAGAGATTAACCAACATAAAGAATTCAGAGTGAAAAATAGTATTTAGCAAAGAATTCCGAAATACGGGGATGATTTACGATTATATGGTAGTGTAAATCGTTAATAGAAATTGTGCCAAGAAATGTTTTACTTGGAGATGGTATGTTAATTTGAAGAAAAATTGATAAGATCAAATGTCTTTTACTTTATTTCTTCAGTGCAAACCATACTAAGAAAAACCTAAACTATTGAGTAGGTGTTTTGAGCGGGGACGAGGTTGACTGTTCAATGCTCATCATAAAAAACAGGCTTTGAGAGAGATTATTAATATAATAATAACAATCTTTGAAGTACTTGACTTATAGAGTGGCAGTAAAACTCTTCCAATCTCGATGTGATATCACATCAACGTTAAAACATGAGTAAAAGCGAAAATTAATATAGATCTGCACATTGAAGTGTTAAGAAAGATATAATTATGATTCTTTGATCGTTTAGGGTAATGGACATGAAACCATAATGTCTCAAAGACGTAGAATTCTAATGTCAAGGTACTACTTTATTTAACTAAATGAAGTACACTCCATGGTATGCCTAGTGATTGCTGTGAGATCACCGAAAATTTCATTATAACGAATATGGTCATTTCGCCTCAAGAAGCACACCTCAGTATCACTATCTTGGAGAAACCCCCATAAAATGTTACAACATTCTGTAAAATATCGGGAAAAGCCCGAAATTTCCACAGAACATTGGGGTTTTCATCATCATTTTACCAGAATCTTATAGCACTTTGAGGGTCTTCCCCAGACCTATAAAAATTTTGGTTTCTCAGCAGTTTACCCATAGATTCCTAAAATATATCCCCGAAATTCACCTAACCCAGACAAAATTTTCCCTAAAACAGGGAGATTGGAACGTTAGTAAGTTGGAACATGAAACTTTGTCCAGAAATCAAGTTTGACAAAAAATATTGTCCAACAGGCTGTAATGTTATACGGCTAAAACAGTACATATGTAACCCAAGAAAAAATCTGTCTTAATTTCAACAGCATTATCTTTATCCTAATGCGGATAACGAAGACACAAACGACAAATTAAAAAACCCACCACGAAACATGCGACCCTGATGGGTCAGAAACTTTTAAAAACCGCGCTCGAAAGTACTATGTGAAATGACTATCAAATCCAGGCTAAAACATAAAGTCCAGTTTTCATAACATTAGAGCTCGTTAATCCGGTTGTATCGTGAGCCTGATGGTGATAGTAATGATATTAATGTTACTGAACAGGCATAATTGCTGAGGTGGGTTGAATAAATACAAATGACTGTCAGTGTATCACGTCTTAAATTTAACTTTATGATCATCCGAGCTTGAATGTCATCTTTTGGGAGTCTCTGCTTATTATATTCCCATATTCATAGGTTGGTTCCACTGGTAAACCGAAATTCACCTCTTGGGCCAGGTGGTCAGCTTATTTTCATTCGCGCTTCTATCTTCCAGATTATTATGAACACATTGCTCCGGACAATTATTCCGCACATAAGTTGCATCCATTGTTACAGATATGTGTGGTGGATATTTCCTCTTCACGAAAGATAATCAGTAGGAAAAACGTTCATCTAAAACTGATACATGAAATAATTTGTACAGATATTATGAATTAGCCACACGATCAAAGAAAAAAGTGTTTTTGCTTAGCATCAGTAGGTTTTGGTTGTGCATTGAAGACAATAAACGCATATCTACCCCAGAGCAATAGATCTTAAGCAATAAGTTCACATAAGACTAGTCTAATCAAAGTAACCCAAAGTGGTAGCTCCAAGAACACATTGCTTAATAGAATGAAATCAACATAGAAGAATCAGTAGTGTCCAATGGACAAAGCAATATTCTTGACATCAAAAATATCCAGGTGGACCAATAGAAAGACAAGCTAGAGTCTCACATTATCCAGGAAATCAAATTTCTTACTAACTTGTTTGAATATCCTGATAATTTTGAAGCAAATAATATGAAACGAAGGGTATTTGAATGGGTGGTGATGTAGTGGCATTGGGCCCTAACACGAGACAATATGGTAAACAGACATACAACATTGAACGCTGAGAAATATCCGAGGATGGAGAAGGCGGGAACAATGAATTGAATAAAATTTGAGTTGATCGGATGGCATGGCTCGGCCAAGCAGGTGTGGTCCCTGCTCAATCTCACCTTATATCTTTTATTCATATTAAATATATTGTTCCATCTCTAAGATTGTTTTCTATCATGTATTGGTAATTGTTACGATGCAGTGAGTTGGTGTAAACGATGATGTGACTTCCACGTAAGATCTTATGGATTAGGCAGTTACATCATAACGAATCTACAATTTGGGGACTAGGTCTATTATTAAAGCAGTACTAATATCATTGTATATATATATATATATATATATATATATAATATCCAAATGAGTGGGAAAATAGATTTTCCGACGTTTCGTGATTCAGTGTGAGCCACTTCTTCAGAGAATAAATAACTAAATCAACATTAATCCAAGTTTAAAGAGCACAAAGAAGCGACGCACGAATATTATGTGTGATCAATCGAAAAACAGTTTCGACCAATGCAATGTCACGTCATTCCGGTCAAGGTGTTTTATAAGTGACACGTGTGAAAACTTCTGTGTGTATGTGACCAGGGTCAGAAATGAAAAAATGTGGCCTTCGTAGTGCGAAATGATAGAGATTAATTTGTATGTACGATAATGGTGTGAGATCTGAATATCAGACATTGTGGCTTGGATAGATGATTGAAGTCAGATGTGTAGTAAGACCTTCTTGTAATTCACATCTTACAATTTTACAATCCTACAATTCTTTCAAAACAAAAAACTTACCTGAAAACCACTCTGTATACTTTGTAGCCTGATAATTAGGAAGCAACATGTGGTATCTTGTGTGTGTCGTAGGACAGTTAAGGAAGAGCTGTAATTAGTGCGAACACTGTGAGTTTTCTTAAATAAAACTGATATATTGAGTGACAAAACAAGTCAGGTCAATTCATCTTACACAAGTAATGTATGACATAAAACCTTTCGAAAAATGCGTAGATGTACATCGGATAAAAAACATATAGAAACGAAATGTCGAACGCCGTATAAGTGTAGCTAGTGACAACATCTAAAGAGCCCAACTTATAAAGTCGTCTATCAGGATTTAGACTAGACGAAGTTAGGTGCTTTCCTCAATGTATGTCCTATCCACTTCCAGCGCGTCTTCCTCATTTCTTCCTCCGCTGGGATCTGGTTTGTTCTCTTCCATAGTAGGTTGTTGCAGGTAGTGTCTGGCCAACGGATCCGAAGTATTTTGCGTAGAAGACTGTTAATAAACACTTGTATCTTCTGGATGATGGCTTTCGCAGTTATCTAGGTTTCCGTCTCACACGGTAGAACTGTTTTAACATTTGTATTGAAAATCTTGGCTTTCGTGTTGGTTGACAGTTGTTTTGAGTTCTAGATGTTCTTCAGTTGTAGATATACTGTTCTTGCTTTTCCGATCCGCGCCTTCACATCTGCATCAGATCCACCGTGTTCGTCAATGATGCTGCCCAGATATGTAAAGGTTTTCGCATCTTCCAAATCTCCCCCATCAATTGTGATTCGATTGTTGCATGCTGTGTTGTATCGAAGAATCTTGCTTTACCCTTTGTATATATTGAGACCTACTGCTGTTGAGGTTGCTGCTACACTGTTCTTGTCTGTGATAGAAGAGCTAGGTTATATGCGCCGTCACAAAGATGAATATATTTAATAGAACTGATGCCCTGTGGTTATAATGTTAATGCATTCTGAAGTTGGATACAGAACTCCCATCAGCTCATAGATATAATCAAGCCGATATAAATTCGTTTAAGAAACTTCTGAAACAGGAACACAATTTTTAATAAGATTCGATGTCTAGAGCACTTTAAATTGAATTTATGATATAGATTGTTTGTGACATTTGACCTTATTGTAAGCTGTTTTTGTGTTTGCTTTTCAAACAACCAAAACTGGACTTTAAAATGCGATCCTTCAATTTATTTATAAAGAAATATGACACAGAAACAATTGATTTCTCAAAGGTCCTATGTTTATTAATTTTTCGTTATTTGAACATATAAATATCGGTACAAAAGGGCACCGAATACATATGGCCAGACAAGTCACCTGAATTGTAAACCCGGGTGCCCGAACCGAAACAGGATTTTTTCTTGGACGGCCACACCCAGAGCCTTCGACCTAAGGGTTTGATCCACAAGGCAATGGAGCAGCGCAAGGATATGCAATCTCATGCTAGCCGGGGCACAATAATTGGTTCATACATCATTTGTTCTTTCAGAATCCTGGAACCCATGTGCAGTGAGTAGGATTTCCGTGGGATTAGCTGTATACGAGTGGCCACATGAGAGCATTCGAGAGGGCGAGCTAACCCGCCCCACCAGAACACTTGGCGTCACTAGCATTTGTTGCCAGCTATAGAATGTCGTCAAACAAAAAATGAGAGAGGGCTTTAGGTCCGCTAGTTATCAATATTGATAAAGAGAATGGTGGCGAATGGTTACAACATTCCACGTTTTTGGAAGAAATACAGCCCATATAAACTGCCACGCATTATTTGAAGTTTGATAAAAACGTTTAAGGACTTCATATCATCCTATATTTTCACAAAAAGTACTCGTTGCAGCCACTGGTAAATTTAATAGTCAGCACACATCCCTTTGAAAGCATGTTGGGCTAATTCATGGTCCCAAGCACGGATAAAGGAGGGTGGGACAAAAGATTATCAACCTTGTCATGTAGAACAAACTTTTTCAAAATATACTTGTAGAATTATGATCTACTATGATATTAGTACTGCTTTAATAATAGACCTAGTCCCCAAATTGTAGATTCGTTATGATGTAACTGCCTAATCCATAAGATCTTACGTGGAAGTCACATCATCGTTTACACCAACTCACTGCATCGTAACAATTACCAATACATGATAGAAAACAATCTTAGAGATGGAACAATATATTTAATATGAATAAAAGATATAAGGTTACATTCAGTAGGGACCACACCTGCTTGGCCGAGCCATGCCATCCGATCAACTCAAATTTTATTCAATTCATTGTTCCCGCCTTCTCCATCCTCGGATATTTCTCAGCGTTAAATCTTGAACTTCTATTTTCCCAGTTTTCTCGTCTTCAGCTTTGAGGATTGTTTGGTTAGGGCCCAGTGGCACTACATACTAACCAGAAAAAATTTAAACCTCTTTAAAATCTGTCCTGATAGCTGAGAAGTCTTCATTTACAAGTAAAGGCAGAGTCTCTCCGAAAACCACAACTGCAAACATGCTCCACATTTCATTCAGATAATTTTAGGACAAAGAACAAGTGTTGACAGATTCGAAGGAGACATACCTCATCAACATACAAAAAAAGGGAAATCTCAAAACGCGTGATAACTACAACGACATCACATTACTATTGGTACAAGGAAAAGTTTTCAACAATTTTGCTGAACCAGATGAAAGACTCAATAGACGTTCAGCTGCGAGATCATCAGAGTAGATTCCATAAGCGTCGACCGTTAAGAGATCAAATCACGACACTGTCGATCATTGTTGAACAATCAATTGAATGGAACGTAACATTATACATCAAATGCTTTGATTATGAGAAGGCGTTCGATAGCGTGGTAGGAGAACGTTGTAGAACCTCCTTCATCACTCTGGTGTACCTGAGAAGATTGTCAACATCATCCGGTTTTAGTGCGATGTACTACACCGCAAAGTTGTGCATGGGGGACATCTGATAGATGCATTTCAAGTGAGGGCCGGAGTCAGGCAAGGATGCTTGCTTTCCTCCTTTCTCCTCCTTCTGGTGGTTGATTGGATTATGAAGACCTCGACATCCTAGTTTAAGCATGGAATACAATGGACAGCTTGCATGTAACTATACCATTTGCAGTTCACAGATGACCTCACTCTTCTATCCATACACACAAACAAATATAGGTCAAGAAAATCAGTGAACCACAAGCATATGAATCAGTAATCCTCATTATATACGAGCAAAAAAGCAACCTTCTCAAAT